TGAGGGCAAAGCTCCAAAGCATGCGAAAAGGATTGGGATGAGGGGGATACCCGTACTAGGAACGTCTTGGTATGTTGCGTTCGGAGTTTTTGCATGGATCAAGCGCTGACATCCCCGTTTGTACAGCAAGACCCACCCGACTTCCAGATCAGACTTTCTCAGGGTCAGAGATAGTTGCCCCCCTAGACTCGAGTGAGATGGAAAGTGAAAGCACTCGCCTGCGCGTTGCAGCTAAAAAGGCGAAAATCCCGATAAGCCACCAAGAGAACAAGATAGGCAGTGACCGATAGAGAGTCGGGTTACAGCCACGAGTCCAGATATCGATGAGGACCTGGTAGAGCTCATATGCGGGCAAAGCATATCCGATGCGGTAGAACCCAGGGGACAGTTCGAACGGACTGAGTGTACTTGAGACATTCACGATGACCCAAGTCAGGACGAAAAAGGGCATAAACTTCATCGGGAGCACTGCTGTGACTGAATCCATAATGAAGAAGTGGAGATGCATAGCGAGCCACAGGATTATCCATGTTAATGGAAACTGACTATGCGTGGTTGCCCAATCTTCTCGGAAGGCCCAGATATAGCCGCTCATGCAGAGCGATGTGATGAAAGTGAAGAAAACGGATATGCCTAGTCGAAGTGCGATGTTCTGTCTTAGGGACAAGGTTTCGAAAATTTTGGTTTCGGCCGAAATGCCGTTCAAAGCCATAACGAAGAAAAATTGCGGCAAGATGACCATCACCATCGTGACAGTGTTATAGTAGAAGCGACCACCCTGGTTCGTTGGCTTGAGGTCGATTGATGCGGCGCCGATTGGGTCGAATAAAACGTGAGCAATGTTTGTATCTGTTGTGTTGGCTGTTGACATTGCTGCAGTTCCATTCAAAGCATTGTAGGCACTCCTAGTCCCTTGGACTAAGATCTGGAGACTCGAAGAGATGACTTGGGCGTAGGATGGATACTTGGCACCGTTCCAAACGTAAGTCAATGCCTCGGTGTTTTGGTATGTTTGCGCAGCTTTTGGGGAGGCAATTGCGGCTGACAGACGTGAAGAGGCGTTGGGATTTACGTAGATCGCTCCCCAGTAGTGACCCTTGCAGATAGATTCACGGATATCGTTTGAAGTCGGATAATCGGTAGATGAATGTTCAATGAGAGTAGGGAAGCTGGGGCTTTCTAGCTGGGAATAGGCAGCTTTAACCGATTGCCCAACGATGCTGTCGTCGTAGTCGACGAGAAGAATTGTGAAGGCCTTCATCCGCTGCGAGTCATTGAAGACATTGCCATATAAGTAGCTCATATTTCCGAGAAACAAGAGCTGGATGAGGAGAAATGAGCCTCCTATGGCGCCCAAAAAGGGCTTTGGTATTTGCATGTTAAAGGTGCTCAGAAGTGACGTTTCGACATTCAAGTTGGAATGATAGGTTTATCTTAGGGTATTGGTGTACGATTATTGTGGGAAAAAAAGAATTTGAGGAGGTGGGTTTGAGTGACTCTTAAAGATCGGAGATAATGATGGCTTTAATTCGGACATAGCAGCTCGGAGCGCAATGTCCTGACCGAATTGCCGGTCTGTAACATGCATCCAGGGATAGCACTTTGTAGATTTACCTTTCTAAGATAGGACCCACGTGGGGATCGTATGGTTCGGATACCCGCTTCCGCTGTGTAAGCGGAAGCGTTTCGGGATTCCGGAATACGAAAGGGTGTAGCGGCCTCGGGTGTCTGATTTCGCATACTTGCTCCCAGAGTTATGTCTGGTTTTAGACCTTTGACACCGCTCCATAACGTGTACTATAATTGAAGCTATTCGCACAGCACAAATCTCCACATTACACCCCCCCCCCCATCTTTATTGATCTGAAGCCCTCCGAACGTACAGTTGCCTCCTCACATTCTTAACCTTACAAAGGCGAGTTCAAAAGAAAAAGAAAAAGAAAACAACAGACACTAAAGAAGGCCCAAAAAATTCTAAAAAGTATTTTAACGTACAAATTACACAAATGCTTCCAGGGTTAACTTCAAGGAGGGTAAGGTTTAGAACCACGTAAAATAGAATACAATGTGTGCAGTAAATATTATTCACAACATTAAAGTATGATGTACACAATCTGCTGTCATCTAGAATCTTCTTACATACAGCTTAAGTTCAGCGATAGATATCATCTCTATACCCATGTGTGTCTAGAACGAGGGGGTCACGGGAGGACCATCAAGCTTGAAGTAACCAGGCTGGAGAGTCTGGTAAACCTCCCTGGGGTCGTACTTCTTTGCAATCTTCTTCAACTGAGCCTTGTTATCGGCGCCATATCTGGCGATAGGATCCTGGAACATGCTGGCATAGTTCATGTAGACATATTCATTGAAGACGCCGACGCTCTTGGCCTCGGCCATGACCTTCTCCATGAACTTGTTAACAAACGCGTAGATAGTCTTGTCATCGGACTCGTTTTTCCACCAGCAGGAAATGTGTAAAAGGTGAACAGGGCCAGAGGAGCCAGCGAGTCCGAGAGGGTTACCGCCATGGTTTTTCATGTTGTTCAACATAGGCTCGGTGATGCCCTGATATATGAGTACAGGCTGGGCACCGGCAACATCGGCTACCTCAGGGACCATTGAGTAGAAAAGGTCCACCACCCAGTTAGCGAATCTCTCGTCAAGAGCTGCGCTGATGGGCCAGTACACCTCGCGAAGGCCGAATGGGTTTTCGGTCTCGAGGTACTCCACGTACTCAACAAGGGTCTTGGCACTGGATGTGTCGGAAATGGCCGAAATGTTTCTGTATTGCTTGAAGATCTCGGGGTTGGGGTCGTTCTTAACGTATGTCAGCTCAGCAGAGGCAAGGTTCATTCCTTGGGTCCGAAGGAAGGCAACATATTGCTGGGCCTTGCCGTCAACGGTGGCATTATTGATCACGTTGATCCAAGCATTGATAACCTGGGGAAACTCGGGCTCGAGGAAGGTCCTGGCACCGCCATACAGCTCTGGAGAGGGGATTGTGTACATATTGTACTTAGTGACAAGACCAAAGTTGTTGCCACCGCCCCGGAGAGCCCAGTACAGGTCAGGGTAGGAAGTTGCACTCGCGGTCACAATCAGACCACTAGCGGTAACGACCTACATGTGATTTATTAGTATGCATTGCTGGAGTACATGACAGGTCCATAGTATTACCTCGAAGCTCTCAACATTGTCGCAAGACCACCCGTACAGGTTGGAGTGGTAGGAGATTCCACCTCCCAAGACGAAACCACCAACACCAATGCTAGAGGCACGACCTCCAATAACGGCCAAGCCATGGGGCTCCAGAGCAGCGTAGGCAGTGAGCCAATTATTTCCAGGCCCAATAGAAGCAACCGTCTTGTCTGCGTTAAGGGCAACGGCGTTCATATCCTTGAACCAAATACTGATTCCGTCAGGGGCGCTAGAAGCACCGGTAAAGGCAGCATGACCGCCACTGCGAGCAGCAAACTCGCAACCAGTCAAACGGGAAAGCAAAACTGCAGTGCTGACTTCCGTGCTCTTAGCGGGACGGAAAACGCAATGAGGCTGGACCTCTTCTTGCTGCACAGACCAGAACGAACTAGTGAAGTTGTTGTACCCAGTAGTCTCTTGAGCAGAGACTTTGGAGCCAAAAATGAAGCTCAAACTTGCGCACTAAGGAAATCCTAAAATCAGCAGTTGCTCAATTCTCGGCTAGATTACCATTGATGCCAGTTTTCCACCTACAGCAGCTGCACAGGCTTTGTCAGTTGACCGCGTCTCAATGGCGGCGAACGAATCTAATGCCGGAATTTGCGACACATCCACCCCGAGATCCTGCAATGCACCAGTGATGCTAAAATCGTCGGCTTCAATAACTGGGCTAGTCGCAGCGGCCTGGGCCAGTCCGCCAATCGCGGATAACCCGCCAATGAGGGTTGGAAGATGCATATTCCAAAAGATATGTAAGTAACCAAAATTGAGTAAACAAACGTGGGATCTAGAAAGATGCAAGGACTTGGGACAAAAAAAAAAAGAGCAAATCCAGGTGGAGGAAACTTATTGTCTTTTATCTTCCTCAGAG